ATCAAAGTTCAACGGGAGACTATAGCTGCAAAATGTAATCAATGTTTTTTTTTTTTTTTTTTGAAATTTTGGCATAGATCAAGACGTAACTTCCTAATTTGCTTAATTTTTCTACACGGTATCAGTTTTAAAGTTAAGTCAACCACTGAATACAAAATTACAGACGAAGGACCCTAGATATTTCCAATTGCTTGATTTTTCTACATGCTTTCTTTAAACAATTTAAAAGTTAAAATCACTAAATTCCCAAAAAAATCTACAAACTAAGCATACTTAAGGCCCAAAGAAAATGGGCTAAAATCCAGCCTTATCTACAAACTACTTAATAAAGGCCCATCTATCCTAACTGGCCCATTGCACCCCTCGCCTTGCCTTTAGGCTTTCAAGAAGTTGCTAACTGCTACAAATTCCGTAGTTGCAGCCAACTCAACGTTGGTGCTTCATTCATGCACTTCTCGCACTCTTAGCCTCTTTGGTTAGTTTCTACGTGCAATCCTCCTCAACCAACAATATGAAGATCCAGTCAATGATTTCCTCTGGCCACCCTCATCCTCCACCATCTCCTCCATTTCCTTCTCCGCTCTCAACACCACCGCGGTATGCATATTTCCCCCACCCCAATCCTAATTATCTCATTTGAAAATTGAAATTCTTCCGTTCATGTTAGTTTTCTTCCTTTTTTACAGTCTACATTTTCCTTTTTCATGATAGGAGCACAACATTGGGTCGCCGTTGCCGTAAATGTAGAAAATCGCTCCAGTTTTGTGTTCATTAAGAACTTTGGGATCGACAACAATGACCGTACAATTTGGGAGATCAGGATCGCTTTCGAGAATCTTGAAGGCGACCTTGATTTTTTTCATGTGAGCATTGTTTTAATCTTTTTTGTCTACTTTGAGTTTGCTTGCGGTTTTAGGTTTGGGTCTCTCTTTATTTATTTATTTATTTATCATTTGATTCTATTTGATTGATGAAAAAATGAAGGGAAATCTCTATGGAAAATGTATCTTAATGCTTTAATCAGTTTGCTTAATTTTGGAAAGTAAAAATCAACATGTATTGGGCATGGATTATTGTAATTTTTGTTCCTATTTATTTATCTCATTTTGACCCATCAAGATATCTTTAATTTTTATTTTCACTTTTACCTTACAATAAAAGCTTAATGACAGTAATCTTTGTTATTTTAAGAAAACAAAGACCCTCCACCTTCCTCTGTTTCATAAATAGTACTCATTTTTGGCTTATGAATCTCTAAGCTCATCAAGATGGCTGTTTTAGTTTCTCTTATATTCTCAACACATCAAATCAACTCTTAGCTTCTGTTTGAATTGAGGGAATTGAGTGGGGAGAGGAGGAGAATGAAGAAAATGTTTCTCTTTTATATTGTTTGGATGATATTATTAATAGAGGAAAAATGAGAGGGAGATAGATGGAGGAGCAGTAGACACTACTGCAGGAATGAGATTTCCGAACCGAACTATTGGTCCGGATATATAGGATATCGGTCTGAATATATATATCCGGACCGATATTGGTCCTTATAGTTGATCTGGAAAAACCTGGTACGAATAAGTCTAATATACAGACCGACGCATAATCGGTTCATATATATATACTATCCGGACCGAAATCGGTCCGGATATTTCAGTAAGAAATATAAATAATTATTGAGAAATTGAAATAAGCGGACCGAAATTGGTCCAAAAAAAATATAATAAAATAATAAAATATATACGAACCGACAACGGTCTGTAACTGTGGCGGAAAGGGGCATCAGAAATATATACGGACCGGTATCGGTCCGAATATTGAGGACCCAGATGCAACTTTTAAAACTTGCAACTATATCCAGACCGTTTTCGGTCCGAAGGTTGTGGACTTGGATGTAACTTTTAAAAGTTCCGTCTCCCAACAAGCGTCATTCTAAACCATATCCAGACCATTTTCGGTCCGAATATTGTGGACTTGCATGTAACTTTTAGAAGTTCCGTCTCCCAACAGGCGTCATTCTCAAACTATATCCAGACCGTTTTCGGTTCGAACATATTGGACTTGCATGTAACTTTTAAAAGTTTCGTCTCCCAACAGGCGTCATTCTCAAACTATATACAGACCGTTTTCGGTCCGAATATTGTGGACTTGCATGTAACTTTTAAAAGTTCCGTCTCCCAACAGGCGTCATTCTCAAACTATATACAGACCGTTTTCGGTCTGAATATTGTGGACTTGCATGTAACTTTTAAAAGTTCCGTCTCCCAACAGGCGTCATTCTCAAAATTATATCCAGACCGTTTTCGGTCCGAATATATCTTTGAAGAACAAAAAAAATAAAAACAGTAAAAAATAAAGAAAACAGATATATTTTATTTAATAATTACATAATATTACCAAATAATACAAAAATAAATTTTACAATTCAAAATAAATGCATTTAGAAAAACATAAAATAATAGCTTAAAATATATAAAAATTTAATTATATTATATTAATTTAGTTTTGACTTAATAAAAATTATACTTATTTAGTAAGTATAAA